TGACTTTCTCTCTGGTACAGTACAGAACATTATTTTAGATGTTTTGCTTGTTTTTCTGTTCTTGCTTCCTATTGGTTGCTTCTTAGGGCTGAAAGTGATTGGCCTAAGTCACCTGGTTGGCTTTGTGCTTAAGGTGGTATCCCAGTTTCTAGCCTGATGCCTTAACCTTTACAAGTCCACCCAATTTGGGTCAACTGTGAATGACCATTTAATAATGCAAATTTGAAAAGCATTTCTTCTATTTTTTTTTATTCAAGTCTAAAGATGTGGAACAGCCCAAGGCCTAGAATTAAATCCTGTGACACAATCAAACTGATGACAAACCCTCTTTGAATTTGATTTTTGAACCAGCTATGTATTATTTGTTATGCCATCAAATCCATGTTTAACTAGCTTGATGGGAGATATCTGCTAAGAATCTCATGGCTTAGGCCCGGGGTACTTGCAGGACCATCTCCAGCTGCTCTTCCACCGTCCTGTGCACTCTCACAGAATTGGCCTCCTCAGGGTGCCGTCGGCCAAACAATGTCGGCTGACGGCCCCCAGGAGGAGAGCGTTCTCTGTGGGAGCCCCGACCCTCTGGAATGGATTGCCCACCGAGCTCAGGACAGCCCCCGACCTTCTTTCCTTCCGTCGCGAGCTGAAGATGTGGCTCTTTCGTCAACTCAACTGATCCGTTTGGGGGTACATTGTCATAATTTTAAACAGTTTTTAATAGGGTTGCTGGTTTTAATTTTATTTCATTGTGATTTGTATTGGAATTTGTCATTTTGTAAGCCGCCTTGAGTCCCCAGGGAGAAAGGTGGCATATAAATCGCAATAATAAATAAATAAACAAATAAATAAATAAATAAATCTCCCTGAATAAATATGTATTCTTGATATACTACTAGACTGCAACCCATCATAATAGAATAACCGAATTGGAAGGGACCTTGCAGGTCTTCTAGTCCAGTGGTCACCAACCATGGTGGTCCATGAGAAAATTTTGGTGGTCCACAGCACACCCAGGTGGAGGAGCTGCTCCGGGATGAGCAATGGCCAGTCCTGTGACTAGAGCTCTGAAATATGGGACTGGCCAGGCATGGTGGGGCTGTAAATCTCCGCCGTAGAGGGAAGTTTGTGCAACTTGCAATTTTGCAGCACAGCCCTCACCGGCCAGAATGAGGTATAGTGCAAGGTGGGGCTGGCGGTGCAGGCAGGAACCCTGGGCCATTTCTTCCCCCTGCTGTAGCTTCCTGTTGGCTGAACTCACCAGTGGCTATCCCCGCCCCTCACCCTCCCTTCCCAGTCACTCCTCGCCAGGCCTGAGAAGGGAAGGGCATAAGATGGAGATTTGCTCCATATTCCAGAGTGAGAGCAAAGCTTCGTCTCTTGCTGGATTTTGTGACCATTTCTTCTGGTCTCTTTTGGTGCTCCATGCACCTCAGTCTCTTGGGGAGATGCTTGACTTCCTCTCAGCCCCAAGACACTGGCTGGCCCATGAGATGAGAGAGAAGGAAAGAGAAAGAGAAAGAAAGAGACAGAATGAAAGAGAGAGAATCAGAGCGAGAATAAGAGAGACAAAGAATGAGAGACAGAAAGAGACAGAATGAAAGAGAGAATGAGAGTGAGAGAAAGAGACAGAATGAGAGAGAGAGAGAGAATGAAAGAGAGTGAAAGAGAGAGAGAGAAAAAGAGAAAGAAAGAGAAGAGACAGAATGAAAGAGAGAGAGAGAAAGAGACAGAATGAGAAAGAGAGAATGAAAAGAGAATGAGAGAGAGAGAAAGAGACAGAATGAAAGAGAATGAGAGATAGAAAGAGACAGAGAGAATCAGAGAATGAGAGACAGAATGAGAGAGAGAGAGAAAAAGAGAAAAAGAGACGGGGAATCAGAGAGAGAAAGAGAGAGAATGAGTGGGAGAGAGAGAAAGAGATGGGGGAGAGAGAGAGAGAGAGAATGAGAGAAAGAGGAGGGAGAGTGCTTGAAGGACCCATCCCGTCACTGGGAGTCCAGGGCTCTCCAACCTTGGCAACTTTAAGCCTGGCGGACTTCAGCTCCCGGGCTTCCGGACTTCAGCAAAGCTGGCTGGGGAATTCTGGGAATTGAAGTCCACCAGGCTTAAAGATGCCAAAGTTGGAGACCCCTGTTCTAGTCCAAACCCCTTGCTCAAGCAGGAAATCCTATACCATTTCAACAAATGACTGTCCAGATTCTTCTTTAAAATCTCCAGTGTTGCAGATTTGAGAATCCCACAATGTTTCTAGAGGCAAGTCTGATTAATTGTTCTAACTGTCAGGAAGTTTCTCCTTAGTTCTAGGTGGTTCTCTCCTTGATTAGTTTCCTCCATTCTTGTCCTGCATTCAGATGCTTTGGAGAACAGCTTGACCCCCTCTTCTTTTTGGCAGCCCCTTAGAGTTTGGAACATTGCTACCATATCATCCCTAGTCCTTCTTTTCACTAAACTAGACATATTCAATTCCTGTAACCATTCTAATCTTCAATCCCCTAATCATCTTTATTGCTCTTCTCTGAAATCTTTCTCAAGTCTCGGCATCTTTTTTATATCGTGGCAACCAAAATTGGATACAATATTCCAAGTGTGAACTTACCAAAAGTCCACACTTGGAATAAAGTGGTATTAATACTTCACATGATCTTGATTCTATTAACGCAGTCTAGAACTGTGTTGGCTTTTTTGGCAGCTGCAGCACACTGCTGGTTCATATTTAAGTGACTGTCCACTAGGACTTCAAGGTCCTTCCTGCAATTGCTACTATTGAGCCAGATGCCAGCTATTCTATTTTTGTGCATTTGGATTTTCTTGCATAAATGTAAAACCTTACTTTTCTCCACATTGAATTTCATTTTGTTAGATAGGGTCCATTGTTCAAGTCGGTCAAGTTCATTGGTGGATTTCTACCGGTTCACCCCAGTTCCTGTGAACCGGTAGTGGTGGCAGCGGGAGGCTCCGCCCCCCGTCCGGATGTCATCACAGACAATCTGCACATGTGTAGAAGGTTCTGCGCATGCGCAGAAGCGCTGCGCACAGGCACAGTTGTGAACTGGTAGCAAAGGTAGGTGGGACCCACCACTGGTCAAGTTCCTTTTGGATCTTGAATCTATCTCCTGGAGTATTGGCTAGTCTTGCCAGCTTGATGTCATCTACAAATTTGATGAGTTTCCCTTCTATCCTGTCATCTAAATCATTGGTGAAGATGTTGAAGACTACTGGGCCTAAAACAGAGCCTTGGGGTATCCCACTGCATGCTGGTACTTCCCTCCGTGTAGATAATGTCAACATTTAATTATGTAAACAGATGGACAGAATGACTATGGGCAAGCAAAAATGCAATGAGAGTGATTTCTGACTTTCTGCCTGTTACTGATTGACTTTGCTTGTGGGACACCATAGGTAGTATCAGAAGTCACAAAACATGGGATTAGGGGATTCTTGCAGCCACCACAACTTTGTGAATAAAAGTAGTCTGAAGATCCTTGAAATTTTAATTCCACAATAGTCATGGGTTCAAGATCTTTTTACACTTATTTTAAGATAGTGGATTTGAAGTACCTTGATCCAAAAATTGTTCTGTTCTAATATACTGTTTGGACTAATAGAAGGGTATAAACAGATGCACAATAGGAGTTTTAGTAGTATCTGCAATCCACTTTCCCATTCAGTCCTTTTCCCCCTCAAATAAAACTGACTGTCCTTTTGTCATGGAAATTTGAATAAATTAGAAAAGTAGAACTTTCAAAGAAGTAACTTCCAACCAACTTCATCCCTATCTCCATCAGAGATGGAATGTATTTTACCTTGAATGTAAAGCACATTTTATTATAAAAAGAAGGGAAGGCCTTCCAAGTCCCACTAGTTTCCAATGTCCAACAAATAGTCCCTGTACTTGCTAAATCGAGGGAATTAAAGTTGAAAAATAAAAAATTAAAAAGAAATAACTTCACAGCTGGGTTTGTAGTCTAAACTGTAGCTCTGTTCACCTCCCATGTAGGATTTGGGTTTCTATTACCATCAACCTTAAGGAATGGGTGAATAGTAAAGGACTGCTAAGACCTGCATTGCAAAACATAACTTGAAGTCCACATATCTTATAGTTACCAGTGTTTGAAAACACTAATCTACTAACTGATCTGACCCTTTTTAGTTTTTCTACCTATTTTTTCAATATCAGCCAACGTCATCCAAGGGTTACGGAGCATCTTCAAAGGCGTTAATAGTTATGAAGGCAAAGAATTTTACAACTTGTTTTATTATCCACCTGTCTGGGATTAAGGTAGGAGGACAGTGACAGGGAACAGAGGCATTGGAGCAGCAGTCTGTAAAAGGATTTTTAAAAAAATTCACACAAAGTCCCATCCCCTTTTTATATACACATCACAGCCTAAAACTCCGAGGACATCTCTACATCCTTTAGACCAGTGGTGAGATTCAAATAATTTAACAACCGGTTCTCTGCCTTAATGATTTCTTCCAACAACCAGTTCACCAAACTGCTCAGAAAGTTATCAACTGGTTCTCCCGAAGTGGTGCAAACTGGCTGAATCCCACCACTGCCTTAGGCATGGAAGCTAAACAGGTGATTTTGGGCCAGTCCCTGTTGCTCAGCCTTACAGGGTTGTTGTGCAAAATAGGTGACAGGAGTATGAAATATCTTGAGTTATATGTGCAAACTCTAAAAATTTCCATAAGCGTTGTTTTCTATGGATTGGAAAAAAACCGTCGGTAATCAAAATCAAAACCAAAACTATTTTGTGTAGAGTAATGGCCAAGAACTATGCCTTATGCTCTGTAGTTCCGCGGAAGAGTAGAGCCGCCAAAGGAATTCTGACTACTCAGATCTCATTTCGCCAGCCAAGAGAAGTCGAATGGCGTGCCAAATAATTGACGCGATTACTGGAAGAAAGCAAGGCGAAACCCCGCCTCTTTGAGAACAGCCAATAGCAACCGCAGCCTTAGCAGAATCTGGGCGGTGCTGCCGGAACCTTCCTTTTGTTACTGCATTGAGAATCCATAGAAAGAGAAGGGAAGACCGAAGCAAGTATTCAGAACTTTGAAATGAGCCCGAAGCGATCTGAGCATGTCTGGGGCTGTTTCCTGCTTCTTAATTAAAAAAATAAGGTACATCTCCTGAAACCTTTCTTGAATTTTTCTTCTTTCCCTTGGTTTGTCTGCGAAATGGTTTTAAGGTAGAGAAATGCTATTTTGGTCTTAATTAGCCATGCTTGAATCGTCATTATAATACAGTTTCCTTGGTGGGGTATGGAAGCGAAGGAAGGGGTTGTTTTTTTCCAGCTTGGTTACGATCCTTTTAAGTTCTTCTCCGTTGCAAATATTCCTCCACTAAAACGCGTTCATTTTTTAAACATTGCCTCTTGCTGGAGACTTGCTGTTTAGTGGTGCTGGCATTCCTTTCTTGTAATAAATATTTTGGATACCTTTCGGGAAGGACCCAGGGCGAGCGTGGGGTATTTTGAAAAATTGTTTTTCTTAAAACCTGACCGTTGTTTTACATTAAAAGGATGAGTTTGCATGTGTTTGTGGTGTAAAGTCCAAGAAATTATGGAAAGGAATTCATAATTAGATCATATGATTAGGAAGAGATGGAGGGATTAGTTCATTGAACTAAAATTTTGAGTTTGCACAAAGCGCAACCTTTTCTATATTTAAAATATCTGGGTCTCTTTGGGCTTAAATTTAAACCCACCTACGTTTCAGGCTAAGCATCTTTTCTTCTTAACTTTGGAAAAGGCAGCACGTTTAGGGTAAACCATTCTTGCTTACAGAAGTCTTACCCAGCCGGCAGGTTGACAGGTTCTTTGATTTGTTCTCCGTGGGTATCTGCCCGCCCGCATCATATCGCCCCTTGCCACCTGCCCTAGAAACGCTGCTTACTGACATCATGGAAACACCCCGCCGCCCAGGAAAGCGCATGCAAACGCTATTCGCTCAAACGATTTCATTTGGTCAAAGCAACTGTCAGTCAATGGAAACAATTCTCTGCCCCTTCTGAAGACCCCCTTGGAACCGAAATGGGACGAGCTCAAGAGGCTCCACCCTATTTCCACAGGTAGCGCTGCCTAAAGTGAATATATTTCCGTTTGTCGCTCCCGTCCGCCCTGTTCTTTGCTTTTTAGCTTTGGCAGCTTACTCAGAGGAGGTGAAAAGCCTCTCGGGTGTTACTCTCTCCGCGCTAAAGATACAGCAGCTTTGAGAAAGCTTATACTTGTCTAACCTATGTTTCAAGTTGCTGCCAGATCTCAGGTAAGAATAAATTTCAGGAAAGCTTGTTAATTCGGGTAGATTTTGTTTTTAAATGCTATAGGGGGCAGGAAAAAAACTTTTAGCAGACTGAATTTTGTACAACTTTAACATGTTTCTTTCCTGTTCATTTGCTTTTTTTTGCTTCCTTCTATTCATTTTGTTTCACAAAAGTAGTTTTATAAATAGTTTTGCTCATGCACAGATAATTCTACAAATATAGATATAAACAAGACCAGAAACTAAAGTGAAACTAAAGTGAATTTTTTTAAATTGATAACAGTACCTCTAAATCATAGATTACACCCATGATTTAATCAGGTTTTGAAGGCTTTTAGCTTTTTCCTTCTGAGAGGAAGATTGTTAGTCTAAATGGTGAGGTTAGAGCCAATAAACTGATCTAACATGGTTTATTACATGTTTAGGGAAGTCATATTGCAGATTATGACACTTCTGGGCAGGGGCTAATAGAAGCTGTAATATCTCTGGAAAATATTAAGCTGCTGTAGGGAAAACTGCCTAAGTAAATTAATAGAGTAGTTAAGAATTTCTGCTAAAAATCACCCCATTCACCCTAATAGCCATGAAAACACTGATTGTCAACCAGAATAGCAGCTAATAAGACAGCTGTTTCAGGACTGATCTAGTCATACAGAGATCCATCCTTCAAGCATTAATTTTAAAAGTCTTTATATGTGGTTCGTTTTTAAACTACCGTAAATACATTACTTTTTCCAGAAAAAAATATGCTTATTTTTTGGAAACAAAGCCCATCTAATATCTCAAATACAATGATGTATTCCCAAAATACATCAATGATAGGCATTTATGTTTATCTCAGTGGTTCCTTATTTCTTGGCTGCAAAAAGGCTAGACGGAATAGTATATGGCGCATGAATGCCCCACACTGACAAACCTGCTTGTGAACTGTATATGTATCATCATCATCAAGAATCTATGAAATGGCTAACATGCATCAAAAGCTATCTATGTTTTTACCTGTCAAAGAGTACTATGAAGTCAATATTTATGTATAGTTTCTTGTTTTACAACTGATCTATCAAAAGGTAGAAACTAATTTATTTTTAGGTTCCCCATTTTCTTAGGCCAGTTTACGTCAAACTATTATGTTACAACAAAAACATAACTAAAATGGAAAAGAGAACTTTTTCTTTACAAAGACTTTTTTACAATTAGGAAGATTGTAGGAAATAGTTGATATCAGAAAACCTGAAATTTGTTGGAATTTCAGGAGGTTTAAGTCACAGCACTTCTGAAAAGAGAGTTTTAAAGCATCCATCCAACCAACTGATCTATGTATCTGTAACTTAATAGAGGTCATTTTTATTGAAATTTTCTCTAATGCAAATAGTGGGCTGGGGTAAGGAGAATTACAAGAAGGGGAAAATTTTTCATGTTGGCCCTTAAACCGAGAAATTTGTATGCCTTTTACATTACTCCACAAATTCAGAATAAGATACTTTCAAGCACAGTTTAAATTGCCATTCTGATTTAGTCTAAACTTTTCTTCAGTTTATTGTAGTTCTGTATAACAAACACGGATGAATTTATTTAGTAAGTGTGAGGCTAATCATTAATCCATCGCAATATCTCTATCACCAAAATTTTAGTGCAGTGTTTTGAGGATCAAAATTGTCCAAATAAGAAGAAACAATGTGTTTTCTTAGGCTTAATACACCCCCTTTCTTTCAGAACTCTTTAAATGTTGGGTTCCTCAGAGCATCATCGTGCTCTTGAGAGAACTCACAGGCTAGGTTAAAAAAATTTTTTTTTTGATTTAAAGTAAGATGTAAATATATGGATATGTTGTTTCCCTGGTTTGCTTATAATATTAGCTTTTACCTAGAATTGAAACTTGCAAATTTCAATAAATATGACCAATGTTTTTGCATTTGCATTTTTTCAACAGATTTAGATTTTGAACATTATCTGTACAACTCATAGTAAGATTGTTAAGAAGAGTTTCTGACATTACCTTGTTTCATCTGCTGCTTCATATAGATTTTCAATCATTTTGAATGCTTCCAGAAGATTGTAACATAAATATTTCTCTCTATTGAAATGCAGCTGATATTAGATTAATTGCTTTATTAATCCTGTGTTTCTAAGAATTAATCTTATATTGCCGGATATGTTGGCAGGGGGGATGCTTGTGGAAAGGTGACTTTCCTTAGAAGAATTCAGCAGGGAACAACTTCTGATTTTGGCCTCTGACTGTGTACCATGGAAATAACAATGGGCAGCCAGCTGGCTATTGACTAACTTCAGAGACTTTGAGAATAATTGTATTTTTCCTGCTTGCAGAAAGTGCTGGTGGATTAGATACTTTGGGGATTTGATGCATTATTTCCTTCTCCTTGTGGGATACTATATTATGAAGAAGGATTAAGAGGTAATTAAATTCAGTTATTTGGATATTGTTCACAAAGCAGTATAGAATAATTTCCTAGTCACTCTGAAATTCTGGCATCCCTGCTTGAAATGTTTCAAGCTGAATGATATTGGGTGCCTGCTTTGCACAACATAGTTCAGAAATTGCAGTAGTGTTAAATACAACTATGACAGTCACCGCAATGGAAATGGGGAAAAAAAGGAACAAGAAATGCTAAAACTTTTGTTTTGAATGTTAAAGAGCCCAGCATTTTCAGGTAGAAAATCAAATGTGCCAAAACTTTGAAAAGTTTCTGCTAATTCTTATAGAGAAGTAGAACAATGCACTCAGTGTGCAGCAGGTTCCAGTTTTCATATACGCTTAGATCAAATGATAAATACCAGCCAACAAGGTTTACTTGTTTCTGGATTATTAGCATATGTTTCAGATTATTGCAATATTGTGTTATGTGCTTTTCTTGAGTATGACAATTGTAGGAGGAAATACTTACCTTTTAGCTTCCATTGATAGCTACAGATTCCCAAAACAGTGATTCTAATTGCTTTGTTTCAGAAGAGCTTATAAATTGGGGGTTTACTGCCAAAAGGGATGAATAAATGAAGTATAAAACCTGTGGTGAACTTGAGTTTATTTCTAGTTGTGCTTCCAGTAATTTAATTACCATATTATCCAACTTAATTTCTCCCTGTTATGATTGCTCAAGAACTCCAAGGCCTCATTTATTTTGATCAAAATTCTAGGTAACAACCCCCTCCCCCCAATATATTTACATCTTAAGTTATGGGAGAAGGTAATCTAAACATTGTGCGGTTCATGTGTCCTGCATTTTTAGACATATTATTTTGTGGCTGTTGCCCATCGCAGCTGTCCTCTTTTAAAAAGGTTTGTGGGTATCCTGTAATTTTCTCTAAAACCCATTCTTCCTCAACCTGCTGCCTTTCAGATATGTTTAGATTGTAGATTGTAACAAGCTAATGAATGCTCTCTTCTAACAGTCTTTATAGTCCTCAGAAATAGACTACAGTGATTTGCAAACCTAGCCTAAGACATGAATGAACTATAGAAACTAACACAGTAGTCACATCTGGCACACCAAGATTCTTGTATTGAAAAGTAGGGAATTTGTTTTACTATCAAAACAAATCAAAAATATTTCCCCTCCTTCCTGTCATAAAAGTATAACAGAATTTCCTTCCATTTCTTGACTATCAAAACCAGCTGCCTGAAGAATGCAGTGTGTACTCTTCCTATTGGTATGGCTGGTATTGTAGGAAACATGCACAACAGGATTATATTGTTTGAGCTGAACTATGTCTAGTTTGTACTTGTTATACTTTGTGTCTGAACTTTAGTGATTATATTTTGCTTTCACAATGCCAGATTATGTTTCATAGGTTTGTATAGCATTATTGCCTATGTTGTAAGGGAGAAATTGCTCAATGAAACATTGCTCTGAGAATAAAATAATCTAAGGAAGGGCAAGAAAAACAGTTGCAACTGTGGTAAATCCACGTGTTAACTGCTTGCACAGGAAATATAGATGTCTGAAATGAAACTGTTTTTTTTAAAAAAAACGCCTTACATATTCTGTTTAAGAGACCGACAAAACATTTGCAAATTATAGTACTATTTGTAAGACAGGATTTGTCTGTTAAAAAAAAAAGTATAAATAAAGCTATGAGCCTTTTCCCTCTTTTTAATTATGCAAATTTTAATCGGTTTTTAAATGATTGGGGTGTTTTAATCTGTCTGGGCCAAATTGTTTAATTCGATTTTACTTTATTTTTAAATTTTGTATCTATGTATTTTTACTGTTTGGCTGTTCACCGCCCTGAGTCCTTCGGGAGTAGGGTGGTATATAAATCAAATAAAGTAAGTAAAGTAAGTAAGTAAGCCTGCATGTCAAAACGTAAAATTTATGCATCAGTAATTCAGTAATATGTACTTCCTAAATTTGTTTGCCTGACTTAGATGAAATTGTTACAGTATTCCAATCATGTAATTTTTTTCAATAACTTAGCATCCCAATCTGTGGAGGGAGAGAGGATCATACATATTGATAGCTTTTTCTGTCAACTTAAAAGCAAATTTCATAACACGTAACACAGTCTTCCTTGATCCTACGCCCCGCAGAAATGTGCTTGCTGGGATTATGTTGCAGTGCAATAGCTCTACAAAGCTGTGACATGGGACTTTATGAACAGCCACCATTCTGAATGACAGTTTGCTATATACTCATCCTGCCTTCAAATTCCAGTTGTATGGGGAATTGAGGCAATGTTACTTCTAGCATTTGTAATCCATCCTTCCTCATGGAGGTCAGTCATCATAACAGTATCCATAACAAATCTTGGTGACACCAAAATGACAACGTGTGCATTGTGACATCATTGAAACCAGCTTAGTACTTGCATTACAACAACTGATACAAATATATAAGTTGCATCATTTTCAGTTTGTCAATATATATCAATATATTTGTTTTCACACTATCTACTTTTATAAGTTTGAGACAATGTTCAGCTGGAGTAAAATAAACATACTTCCAAAATTCTCCTAAAGTCAAAGAGCTTATATGTGTCTTTGAAGTCCAGATGTTCCAGAGAATAGGGCTGGTCTTAATAAAGTGCCAACAAGCCCCAATTTCTCACTCCTCCGTGTTGGGGCCCTCAACATAATGAACACTCTGAATTGGATGTGCAAACAGCTGGTGGGTCATGCAGCAACATGCCATCCTTGGCCCACTGTGAGTGTTATGCCATAAAAGTAATTCTATTGAATTTAATCAACAGATTTGTGAGTTGAATTCAATAAAAGGAAGAATAGACATGGAATACAATGAATGTATGCCCGGGTATGATATGCTTGCTTATAACATACCATTTATGGTAATTTGTTGCTATTTATGAATTATTCACTAAACCACTAAAAGTGAGTAGTGAATCTACTTATTTTTTATATATAACAAATAATGAACTTTATGAACTTACTTTAAAATAACATCTCATAATCCAAATCAAAACAACAGCCAGACCAATATAATGTTCATCATTACATCATTTTATCATGTTAGAAAAACACATAAGAGAAAGATTTATAGATCTTTTTGTGTAGTTGGAAAAAATTGGCTAGAATTGTTTTATCTTCCAGCTTTATTTTTTCAATGCTTAATTTGCAAATGACTGTAGTTTTTCAGGTGCCCTTCAGCTGCAGTCTTCGGCTGTGCCAGAGACACTTTCCCATGAGGCACTCCCATATGTTTACCTGTATGGGAATGCACTACAAGTCAGTGACTCCCATGTGACTGAAGGGGACCTCTTTATAATGAAGAGAACCTCTTTATAATGTACAGATTTTACATTTAAATTGTTATTTTGCTCTCCATTAAGATACTTGTGTGTTTAGTTCTTTGATATTTCTGTTTAGTTTTCCAAGCAAATTCCTGGTTTGGAAAAACTTTTAATCATGGCAGTGGCAGTGATTTAGTTGATGTAGGCAAGTAACACTCAGTATATAATTTATGGTGTCCTACTTCACTTCTGGTGAAATAGCTATTAACAGCCAGTATATAATTTATGATGTTCTTCTTAATTTCTGGCTGTATCTTTTTAAAAGCAACTATAAACCAACAAATGAATGGGGAGCTCAATTAGACCAGAAATGTTACATGCAGTAAATACACTTTATCTTGAAATGACACATACCTAAAAAGTCATTTGTACTATTGACCCAAGTGCAGTTCCTGTGATTTTAATTAGGCTGATCTGGAGTAAATGGATTGTGGATTACAGCCCAGATTTGCAGGACTACTACTGTATGAGTTGAAGTTAAACCAACCCTCTTTCATAAGCAGGTGGAACAAAGCAGTGAGTTTCTGGTCTACTTGACATTGAAAAATAGTATATGTTCTTTTATAGGAAACATAAAACTTCAGCATGTACTATTAATTTGAGGCCACTTTGTTAATAGTGGATGAATCTCTTGATCATATGGAATGGTGTAAGGATACAAATAACTAAATGTGCAGTTTTGGAACAAAATACTGAAAATAAAAATAGGGCTGCAGGCTTATTACCATGATCTGAAGCATGCCTAATAAACTGCATGATCCTGATTTCCTTGAGTTCATTACTCGAAACTATGACACCCAAAGGGGCTGTGGTGTTTTAGTTCAGGGAATACTAGAAAATCTATTGCTGGAACTTTCACCTTTATTTCTCCATTTTTCGTCACTTCTTTTTGAGAGTTGCTGCTTTGCTAAGGAAGTGAAAGAGCTTGTCCACCATGTGCTTTTAGCTGTGTTGGTTCTTCCTTGCAGTCTATAAGATATCTTATTTTAATAAACAGTTTCTAAGAAAAAAGTGGCATTTTGCTGTTATTGTTAACATGCCTCTCTAGTTTCTGATATTACAATCCTACTTGTAGTTTGATGCAAATCATTGTTAATAAAATAATACACTTTCTGACTTTCCCCTTTCCTTCTTTTATTTTCATGAAAATTAATGATGGTGTTGCCTGAGTACATTTACTCAGATTACATACCAGAACCAGATATCTTTTATCCAGCAATTCTCTTGGTAGTAGCAATTCCTCCTGTTCCTAAAGACCATTCTCTCTTCCCTCTCTATATATAGATGTTAAGATTCTGGATAGGACTTTTATTGCTGGAACATTATATGAAATGCATAGCCAATTTTTAAAACTTCTGCTGTATTGTAAATCCCTCATATCATGAAATACAGTAGTGCTAATTTCAACCATTTTTAGTGTCAGGTTTAAAATAAATTTTCAGAATTTTAAATATTGATATTGGGGCAACTCTTTATTCAAATCTTGTTTTGGGTATAATCTATATCTTAACTTTATAAAAGATAATGTCAACTCACAAAGCATCCCTGGCCTGCAACATCTCCATTCTCCATAACTTGCCACGTAATTATGACTTAATTATAATTTAATAAGGAAAATCAACTTTCAAGCATAGTTTATAAAGATGAATT